CTTCAAAACTATCATTAGCTTATCATCATGAGCAATTTAACACCAAACCTATCTGGCTTTCAATGACATTTTACTGGCCCATCCGTTTACCTCTCACCATACAACCCCTGAGTACCCAACATGTCCATGTCACTGGGTTTCTCACTATCTCCCAATTCCACCGTATTCTTTCCCATTCTTAGGGTTTTGCCTTTACAGCTTTTTCTACCCAACAAAGTACTGGCTTTCCTCAAGCCCTAAATTAAATGCTGCCCCTTTCAAAATTGAAGGCTTTTCCCCTATCAACATCAACCTCCCCATATTCCACCAGTTTTTGGTCCTTCCTCTATTCTGACATGTAGAAACATCTACATTGCATCAGTTATGCATTCATGTGACTGTCTCACTCAACAGACCATGGGTTTCTTAAGCCCTGAAACAATGCCACAGGGAAGTGCAACACCAGTACAAACAAGACTACAGTCTAGGTCACAGGGTGGCAAATGTTTTCTTGTGAGACCATTTAGTATTTTAGGATCTGGGGGCCATTAGGTTTTTGTCACCACTGTGCCATTTTAATACAAAAGTAACCATAGATAATATATAAATAAAAATTACTGTGTTTCAATAAAACATTATTTACAGGACATGTAGTAGGCCAGATTTGATCCTTGGGTCATAATTTGCTGTTCTCTAATCCCAGTGAAAGCTACTTTCTGGTACACAGTGTGATGAAAGTCCTCTAAAGTATAATCTAGGAAGTTCTAGGAAGAATCAATATGCATATCTATCATCTTTATATCTTCTGCCCCATATCCCACAGGAAGTAAAGTATCTTCCTCATAGTAGACTCTAATCATTTTGTTTAAAAAATATTTTGGAATTAAATTTGCCCAAAAAGATACCAATTTAGTGAATCATAATAGTATTTTGAGAGTTTAATTACCTTTGAAAACTGCCTTGCAAATTTGTAGTAAAGTAATTCAGGAAGGGATCATGTAAGCCCCAAAATCATAAAAAGAATGAGACAGGAAAAAATGTGAGCAAAAAAAAAAAACAAAAAAAAACAAAAAAAAAAAAAACCATGTAAGGATTAGGCCCCAAAGAGAGAGAATCTGACATTAGAGCTAGATAGAAGCTACAAAAAGGAATTTCAACCCTGAGGGACCAACACCAAGGGCATCACATCGTATGTAATAGACATCTCACAACACCTCTAAAACTGTGTGAATAATGCATTTATTGCCAGCACTTCAATGCTGAAAAGATGTTTGTGATTTGGAGGAAACTCAGAGACCAACCAAAATGATTAAGAGACTAAAAGAATTCATTTATGAGCAGCTAAAATGAGGTCAAATACTTATGTGGCCTGCTGATGGTCAGAAGAAGATGTGGAAAAGGTCCACAAATTACTGAATATTGTACACATCAGGAAAGGTAGGAATGATGGTCAACTCTATTGGATATAGTTCTTGGTATGGACATATCTTAGGCACTGACAAATTGTTCTCTTTATTGGGTCTTAAAACATTTACAGGCCATCTGAATAATAAATAACTGGGAATACTGTGATTGGTAATGTTCTATTATTATAGGAGAGTGGGATTGCAGTACAAGATAAAATTATTGCTTATTAAAATTTTCTGGGAATGCGAGGTGTGTTGAGAGAATTCAAAATTGCTAATATTCCTCTCTTAGAGAGGTTTCAAATATATGCAATTATAGATAATAGGATATAGTTGAGAATTACTGAAATTCAAGCACAAATATGCAGAAAACTTGATATTTCTTTCCTTTTTTTCTTTCATTTATTTACTCATTCAATGATCCATTCATCCTAAATAACTAATGTCAGGATCTGTGGTGGTGATACAAATAGTAATATTGCACAGAACCAGTCCTCTAAAACAAACAAACAAATAAAAAATACTTTTACAGCCCATGGATAGGGTCAGGGAAGCAGGTGAACTAAGAAGGAACAGACAAATTCAATAGACAGAGTAAAATAATAAAGAAAAAATGGCCCCTAACTCAGAAGGGAGGAAGAAAGAAGGTTAAGGAGGCTTCCTGAGGGAGTGGGTATTTGTGCCAGATGCTGAGGGATTCTGAGGAGTCCATTAATCACTCACACACACACACACACACACACACACACACACACACACACACACACACACAAATGGGAATAAGCATCCTAAGTAGGAAAAATGATATATTTAAAGGGCTAGAGATGACAAAGTGCTAGACCACTGTGTCACAGCATATGTGGGACTGACAAGTAGTTTAAACTGTCTGAAACAAATAATGTAAGCAAGGCAGGCGGTCATCTTAAATAATTGGGATACAATAGGATTGTGATTTTTATTTTCCTTGTTAATACTTATCTTTTTCAAATCTCTTCCACTAACAAAATCACCCTTATACAGACAAACAGTTGCAAACAATCTATATACCACTTATTCTGTGCTTGACACTAGTTTTAGCTCTTTACTTATATTAAGTGGTTTTATCTACATAACAACTCCATGAGGTAAATACTATGATTGTTCATATTTTACAGGTTATACAACTTGCAGAAGTTAGAGATATAGTCAGCAGCAAAGTTGTGATTCTTACTTGGGATATTTCTCTCCAGAGTTCTGCTTTTAAGTCCTCTGTGCCACTGCTAACTTTCTAAGTCAAGAGTCTATTTTTCTATCATTTATTCCTATAATTCATCTAAAAACTTATCTAACAAATAAGCTGAGACAGTCAAATATTTGGGTGGAAAATTTTCATAGCAACAAAATTAATATTCGCAAAAATGAAATAGAAAACAAACTAAATATCCTATAATGTAAAATGATTAATCATAGCATGCACCATTACGCAAGCCTTGAGAATTATGATTTAGAAAAAAGTTAAATGACATTGGAAATACTATACAGGCCAAAGGGAAATGCAAGATACAAACTAATAGTATGTTTATATTCAGAAAAGAAATACATTAGTTAGATAAAGTTTCAATTCTAATCGTGGCTCTGTTACTTGTTAGCATTGTGACCTTGGGTAATAATTCAGCCCTTTTGTACTCCAGTTTCCTCATTAGCAAATGAGGCAATAAATTGTTTTGAGGGTCAAAATTAATACATATTCAATACTTATGATGCTTGCTAGCAATCACTTAATGATAATATAAAAATTTAGAAAAGCCTATATAAAAATTAGAACTGAATAGTATACTCACCTGGCAGTTTTTAAAGTGTCTTTTGTAATCTGGGATCCAATGCTACAATATTTTTCATTTCTTTTCTTCCCTATACTTTAAAAAATAATTGTAAATTGAGTGACAAAGGGAATATTCTCCTTTGCGAATAAAAAGTATTTGATTTCAGAATCTGCATTGTTAAATTATAAGACTTACTAAACACTTAACTAAACACCAAAGTGCTAAAAATGTAGTTTCCTTTTTTTTTTTTTTTTTACCAGATACCTTCTCAAGGTTAGAGCCCTGATATTTTGGTTGAATACTATTGAACTGTGTGAATTTAATACTACTTAGAACTGTTGTCATGTGAAGATCAATAAATAGATGGAAATTACAAATTGGTTTTTAAAAAAAGCCTAAGGCTATGCAGAGTTTATTTCTCATTCAAGTTTGAAATTATCTTAATTATACTTATTTTTAGGTGTCAGAAAGATTAAAAGGAAGTGAGCAGTTTTAAAAATAGGGTCCTCTTCATTTTACCTGAAAGTTTTATTTTTCCCTTTTTTATTAAAGAGATCTTATGTTTTTAATTGATAAGTAAAAATTTTGTATACTTATAATATACAACACAATGTTTTGAAATACCTATACATCGTGGAATGGCTAAATCAAGCTATTTAACATATGCATTTACTTAAACAGATTTTGTAGTGAGAACAGTTAAAATCTATTTGGGGCTACTTGAGCAGTCGGGCTATACTGAGCAGGGATGAAGCTACTTGAGCAGTCAGGCTATACTGAGAAAGATGGAACAAAGCAAACAGGGCAGGGGGCCATGTGACTTTCACTGCTCTGGCCAGGATCTTCTAAGTAGAACCAATGCATTGCCTATACACTTACATTTTAGATGTCATAATCTTTTTTTTTTAACTTTTTGATTGTCACACAGTATTTTTACATACTAATGAGGTACAATGTGATGTTTTGAGGTATTATTTTCCTTGGTACTGGGAATTTAACCCAGGGCCTCATACATGCTAAGTGTATGCTTTATCACAGAGCTACATGTCACCCCACAATGTGATGTTCAGATTCATGTATATAGAGTAATAATCAACTCAAGGTAATTAGCATGTCCATAACCTTTTATCATCTCTCTCTGATAAAACATTCTCTCTTCTGACTACTTTGAGCTAAATATATCATTGTTATTCATATCCACCTGTACATAACACAGAACATCAGAATTTATTCCTCCTATCACAATGCACCTGATTATCCATCCCTCTGCAACATCACCAACCCCCTACTCTCACAGTCTCTGGTAACCACTATCCTAATCTCAACTTCTCTGAGACCAATTTTTTTGATATCACATGAGTAAGATCATGAAGGGTTTGCCTTTCTGTGCCTAACTTATTTCACTTAACATAATATCTTCTAGTTCCATCCATGTTGATGCAAATGAATACAGTTCTACCTTTTTATGGCAGAATAGGACTCCATGGTGTATATATACCACATTATATTTTTTTGTGGTGCTGGGGATTGAACCCAGGGCCTTATACATGCAAGGCAAGCACTCTACCAACTGAGATATATCCCCAGCCCCACATTATCTTTACCCATTTCTCTGTTGATGAACATTTAGGCCATTTATTGCAGAACTATTCACAATAGTTTACCAACTTTTTTAGGGAAAGGATAGAAAGAAAATCTTTGACTCAGGAAATGAGGTTATTCTGCTGCTCACACCATTAGGAATCTGATTTTCCTGAAAGTTTTCATTGCTTTTCTCTCTCTCCCCAAACCTCTCTCCCTTTCTCTCTCTCAGGTCTCCTATGTAAAAGCGATTGACATTTGGATGGCAGTGTGCCTTCTGTTTGTGTTTGCTGCCTTACTGGAATATGCAGCGGTGAACTTTGTCTCCAGGCAACACAAGGAGTTCCTACGCCTCCGAAGAAGACAGAAGAGACAGAATAAGGTACAGTGGGCCCTCAGTACAAAGTTATGTACAACCTGGGGTGATTAATCAGGCAATATAATTCAGAAAACAGAACACAGAATGACCAAGAAGCTGAAGTTAATTTGTGTTCTAATTTGTCTTAGTGTGTTTATTGTTATTCAAATCAGTCTTTTAAATTTTGGGATGGAATTATCAGATTTGGCAAATAAAAATACAGGAAATGCAGTTAAACTTGAATTTCAGATAAAGAAACAATTTTTATTATGAATATGCCCCAAATATTGCATAGTATATACTTAAAAATAATTTTCTTAGTATATTTGAAAATCAAATTTTACTGAGCTCTCTATATTTTATCTGGCAACTCCAATTAGGTATGTATACCCAATTTGAAAATGTTACTTTAAAATTCTTGCTATTTTGAATGTTCATAATTTGTGTGTATGTGACCATGTGTGCACATAACTGATCTGATTGACTTTTTTTCATCAATTGTTCCAGTTTTATGTAAATAATGCTCTCATGGTAATAGCATGTCCATCATGTAGACTGCAACTTGACATATCCAATTGAACTGATCTTATTGCCTCCACTTCAGTGTAGAAACCTAAGCCTTACACTATCCAGAGGTTTGAGGTTTGAAATATATACCTCAAGATCTCTAGTTCAAGACTATCATGCTAAGTGAAATAAGCAAGACCCAGAAAGTCAAAGGTGAAATGTTTTCCCTGATATGCAGAAGCTAGTACAAAATAAAGGGGGGGGAATGAAATGGGGGATTCCATCAAAATAGAAGAAAGATCATTGGAGTAGAAGAAGGAGATTCAGGGGCAGGAAGAAAGGACAGAATAAGGAAAGAACAGTGGAATGAATTGGACCTAAGTTTCCTATGTAATATATGAATATACTACAGAGACTCTAACCATCATGTATATGTACAAGACACTAATTTAAAAAAAAACAAGCAAACAGCAGAAATATCAGTAGAGTAGAGGAAAGGGAACAGGAGAAGGAAAGGACTAGGGTAAGGAGAAGTACTGGTGACCAAGCTAGGGCAAATTATATTCCATACATTTATAATTGTGCCAAAATGAATCCTAATGGTATGTATAACTGAGATAAACCAATAGAAAATGGAAAAATAGAAATACAGTTCAGCAGCTCTAAAACTTATCTGCATATTAGAATCAACTGGGTTTTATGTATTTTTGAGAATTTTTTTTCATATTTATTTATTTATTTTTATATATTGCTGAGGATTGAACCCAGTGCCCCACATATGTGAGGCAAGCTCTCTACCACTGAACCACAACTCCTGCCCAATCAGTTGGGTTTTAATTTCCTGACCACATCCCACACCAATTAAATCCCCATTTCAGGATAGGATATAGGCATCAGTATTTCTGCAGCTCCCCCAGGCAATTCTACTGCATGGACATGTTTGGAAAGCACTGTTTTGGTCTATGACCAAATCTCATATAAGATACCAGAAGGCTTACAGCTGTTTTCTGTTTCAGACTCTGAGAGGGAAACATGCCCTTGAATATAAGAGAATATTACCTCTTGTAATAATATTGCTAGAGAACCAAGTTAAAATTTTAAGTATAGTATAACTAAAAAGAACAAATACAAATAAATAAATTTTAAATATAATAGATTTTTAAAAATCTTTTCCCCCTAAAATTTGATAAATTGAACCTGCTGATGAATTTGTACTTACATGCTACATTGTTAAAGCAAAACCAAAATGTTTCACTGTCAATCATTGCTTCCAAAATTCTAGATGTAAAGTTGAATGTTTGTTGTTATATATTGCTTACATGGAGTTTATATATGTGTGAGCTGAATTCCTAACTGCATCTCCAAAAAGGTTTTCTGCATATACTCTAAAAAAGATAAATATATCCTACTGGATGCCATCTAATACTCTTTGTTATGTTTTCAAACATTTTTGTCCTACCACAGCCTAAAGAAAACAAACATAGCATAAATATACTTTTTGGTGTACATTACTTCTTAATATTGGACCTTTATCAAGTTTTCTCTCTCTGCCTCCCTGTTGGTGCTAACCATTCCTTCAACCCATCCACAAAAGTCCTGTAAATAGTGGCACAAGGTCAGAGTCACTTTGCCACATAAAAAATATTAGATTGTGATGGTATTTCAGCACACAAACAATACAGAGTTTAAACAACTCACACAGTAACTACCAGTGGGTTATGTCATTCAGAAATCCCTTTTATGCTCTAATACTACCCAGGTTTTGCCAATCTTACCCCTATGATAATAGGACTCATCTCAGACTCTTATGGAAAAATCAAATTCTTAGTGAACTCCCCTGATTGATAAAGTTTGGGGAGTTACACAAGAAACTATATGCTTAATAATTATATCACATGATTCACATGATAAGTTTAAGAAACACTACACTGGCTCACTGATTGTATGTCAGACAATTCATACTTGTATTATACTGTTAGATCATAAAGGATTGTTTTATTCTAACTGAATAGGATCTTTGGTTAGATTCAACTTTGCAAAGAGGCTGAATGGATAGTCATGGAATCAAGAGTAGCAGCAACAGATCAGTTAGGAGGTTATCCTAGAAATATAGGTAAGAGATGGTAGTGATAAGGTATTGGTCATGAGAATGGAAGAAAATAGATTCAAGATCATTCATTTAATTCACAGATATTTAATTGTTTCCTACTATGTGCCAAGCACTATCTAGATCCTTAGAATATTGTTGAACAGAATAAACAAATGCAATTCATTGATGAAACTTACATTCTAGTGGTTATGCTTTAGAGGCAAAAATAATCAATAGGTCATGCTGATGCATTTGACATGAGGAGGTTAAACATAAGAGAGGAATTAAACATAACACAAATTTTTTGTTTAAGCAGCTGGGCAGTTAGCATTATAATTGTAATCTGTCATAAGAGGTTGTTGTGACAGAAACAGATTTAGGGTAGATTCCAGAGTCACATTTTGATGCTGTTTAGATGACTATGAGACATCTCAGTAAAGTTGGCAAGTAATTAGAGATAATGTGCTCAAAAGAGATAAAATTTGGAAATATATTTGGGATTGACCGACAAACAGATAATTTCCTAAATTCACAAAACTGGCTGAGACTGTCCACTGAGAAAATGGAAATTAAAAATTTCTCGAGAGGCTGGGGGTGTGGCTCAGTGGTAGAGTACTCACCAAGCACGTGTGAGGCACTGGGTTCGATCCTCAGCATCACATTAAAATAAATAAATTAATTAATTAAGAGTTAAATTCTTAAAAATAATCTTAGGAGAATGGAGTACTCCATCACTTAGAAAGCCTATCTAAAGTAGGCTGAGTAGAAAAAAAGGAATAAAGGAAATGATGCGACTTTAGATATTACTTGCAATTGCTTTTGCTGCACAGAGGAGCATAGAAGATGGTATGAAATAAAATGTGAGTTCATGGGAGGCCTTTTCCCAGAAAAGAAGATCAAAGAATGTTTGATAAAGTGAAAACAAAAATATTAGGATGCAGTGGAAGGAGAGCATAATTTCAAGAACAAAAGGTCAGCTAAGTGCAGTGACACACACCCATAATCCTAGTGGCTGGGGAAGCTGAGGCAAGAAGATCTCAAGTTCAAAGTCAGCTTCAGCAACTTTGTGAGACACTTTCTCAAAATAAAAAAGGGTGGGGATGTGTCTCAGTGGTTAAGCATTCCTGGATTCAATCACCAATACCATAAAAAGAACAAAATGTCTTGAGAAGGTGAGAAAGGATAAAATCCAGCACAAAGGTGTTAGCCTTACATGGGGACAAACATTTCATCCATTTTAATAATGACTTAAATTATTGTCAATTCATTGATGAAATAACTAAAGCACAGAGGAGTTAAATAATTTGTCCATGTTCATGAGCCAGGAAGTGGCACAGCAAGATCTTAAGTAAAATACAGTATCTCCAATGTCTGTGCTTTGCCATTATACAAACAAAATGGAAGAACAACTATAGTAGCTAGCTGATTTGTAAATTCAATGATGGTAAGATTCTCACTAATATCCCCTATCATTTCCATGAATACTGAGGTTGGTTGTCAATTGAGATGTGATAGAAAGAAGGAGTGTAGAAAGTTTGAGGAAGAAGGTCCAAATATTAAATAGCAGTTTTACATAGTATAAAAAACAGTAGTCCAAGGATAAAAATGGGGACAGTATGCTGAGGCAAACAATTGTGTGCCCATATGATATCTATGGTTACGAATTTGAAGTGTGAACAGTCAGCAAGCAGATATGTTTTCCCCTAGCAACCTTCTAGGCTCAGATACTAAGAAGTTAGATGCTTGAGTTTAATTACAAATTTAGTTTTGCCAGGTAAGTGAGAAAGTGGATGGAAGATATGGAGAGTATAATAGCAGAGATGAAGGAAGAGGAAAAGGAAGGAAAGGAAGAAAGAGAGGAAGGGAGAAACCTGGAGTTGAGGGAGTGGTTGCATGGAGTAGTGAAAGTGATGAACAAAAAACCCTAAGGTGGATAGAGAAGGTGGATAGAAGAAGGACACTCTAGATATTCATGGAAAATAAAGACAAGAATAAAGTTATGACCCTGTGAATTTATGACTAAGTTTGGATGGAGGGAAATTGACAGCTAGGCAGTCCAGAAACTGGGAGGTCTTGGATGAGCCGATTATCTATATGGATATGGAAGTTCCCCCAGTAAAAGTGATATTTTTGAGAGACAGGGAAATAGGAGCTACAGTCACCAACTAAAAGATTGAATCTGGGTGCTGATAGATAATAGCAGTGATAAGGGAAATCAGTGGTATAAAATTAATGAGCAGAACTTCAGAAGTACCAAAGGGGCTAGGTTTGAGGAAATAGGAAAAAGAAATGGTTCAGGTATTGCAGTGGGAAGCAAGAAGGACACTTCAGATTAAAGGAAGACTTCTTAAAGATGCCAGCTGACAGTTATAATTGCTGCTTTTAAAAAACCATTGAGAAATCAAGTTTGCAAGTGTATGTGGAGTTT